TCAAGCCACAAACACTTCCCCAGTTACCACTGTAATACACTTCTATGCGCCCCACATTTGGTTCTGGACCTCCACTCAAGCGGATATCAAAGTCTGTTTCTGTTAGAAATTAGATTTACACTTAAGAACAATAAGATACCACATCTGCTCAAGTCATTTTTTTATATTTACATTTGCCCCCGCGCCGTCCCATTACAACAGTGTNGCGGGTTTTATGGGATTTGCCAGGGGTCACTTGTAATTATATCAACAATAATTACATCCAGACAACCAGTTATTGTTTAAATATTTCTTTTTACAGAATTCTGTAATGGTTTTAGGATCATGACCTATCATTTGATCAAATCTAAACTATTCCTCAAGTATCTTTCTTAGTAAATGTAATAAATATGAACAATATCAGCAGCAAGTACACATTTCGTTAAAAGAATTGGTAGTTTGTTACATGCTATATATGCATTCATTAATATCCATTGAGAAACTTAAGATCATTCCTCATTAAAATAGGATTGTCATCTGAACTTCTGTGAAAAATATAAACTTACCTGTGATATAATAACAGGAAACACTAGCGGGGTAACCACTGCAAGAACCAGCTTGACCCCATCCGTCAAAGGAACAATCCGCTAGACTGTCCTCCGTACCGTTACAGTCTACACCTGCCATCCATACAGGGTCTGTTAGACTGCCATAACGGTGGGACCGATATATTTGATGACCAGCACTGAAGGATAAATATAAAAATAGAAGATATTTAGTTGCTGATAGTTTGACAAGTCTTTGGTTTACAAAAAAATGTTTAATATTAGTAACGTTGAAAAACTTCGTTCATGGTACTATTTAACAAGTCTAAAAAAGCTGTTTAATATTAGAAACATGATATAAATTCGTTCCCGGTACTATTTTAGCACGTCTGTTTTATCATTATATTTTATTGTTCCAATAACATAACTTACCAAGCAATATTCCCTGCTTTTAATAATTGTGACAAAGGTTATATACAAGAAAATGTGATCCGGATGTACAATTGTCAATTCTATTTCTCGGAGAAAACCAGTTTAACAATGCGGACATCGCAACTATTGATATTGCCAATTAAATTTATGAATAATTGCCTTTTAGGGAAAGAACATGCGACTTTTTTAATACACATAATATCAATTAAGTGGATTGATGAACAATCTATTAGATATATTACTTACAAACAGCTGTAATAACAATATATTCCGAGCCGTGAATAGTGTGACAGTTAAAAGATAAAGGTCAGTTTACTCCATGAATGTTGAAGAAAATAATTCAAAAAAATACAGACAAATGTCAAATTATTAGATATTCTGGAGAAACATACTTACAATTCATTATAAAGCTATATACAAGATAAAATATCTCTGAAAACAACTCAGGTATTTTGTACTTTAACATATGCGTGAAACGTATTTTCTTCTTTTATGTGATTACACTATAACGGCTGGTAATAGTATCATGAATGTCGGTGCCTTACCTGTATCCTAACATCCTGCACGTGACATTAGCATCCCTGTTGTCCCAGTCGTATTGGCCACAAACACTTCCCCAGTAACCACTGTAATACACTTCCACACGGCCCACATTGGGTTCTGGATCTCCACGCAGGCGGATGTCAAAGTCTGTTTCTGTTAAAATTGTGTTTACGTTATACATTAAAGAGCTATAACTTCAGCTTATTCCATCACATAACAGTATTTCCGTAACATTTTAAGCTTACAACAAGGCATGTTTTGCGAATAATCCCATTGAAATAAACAGCAGTTGCAATGTCAAATGACACCTATTACTTAAAAATGACTTTGGTTTTTAAGGTGAAAGGGTCTTTGACATCTTGCGAAAGAGTGTATATTAGCAAGAGTTTTTGTTTTTTTTACAGATTAATGTTTTTGCAACTGAAGTTTAACACAAGCCTGTAATACTTTTAGTATCTTTATTATTTGATTGAAATCGAATATTTTTTCTCAAATATCTTTCTCATTAAATTTAATAGATATAAACAAAACCAGAAACAAGGATACATATCGGTGTCGTTTTTCATATTTTGATAGATGTTTAACTACATTCATTGATATCAATTTTGTGAAACTTGAGATACGTTGAAAATGACGAGCAATCATCTTTCATCAAATGGGATTGCCCTCTGAACTGCTGTGATTAATATAAACGTACCTATGGAATTATAACAGAAAACACTAGCGGATAAACTACTGCAATAACCAACTTGACCCCATCCGTCAAAGGAACAATCAGCTAGACTGTCCTCCGTACCGGTACAGTCTACTCCTACCATCCATACAGGGTCTGTTAGACTGCCATAACGGGTGGTTCGATATTTTTGATAACCAGCACTGAAAGATAAATATAGAAATAGAAGATTATTAGGTATTAGGTGCCAATAAGTTTGAGAAAACCGGCTGAACAATGTGGACATCGCAAATATCGTGATTGTTGATTACATTTATGATAATTACAATGAAGGGAAAGGAAATTATATTTTTTTATACATATGAAAGTAATTAGTTAATTCATAAAACAATATGATATTCTGTCACAGAAAACATGTAAAAAAGATTATATTACAATTCAGTCAGCTGTAATAACAATATATTCCGAGCCGTGAATTGCGTGACAGTTAAAGGATACATGTCAATTTACTACATGAATGCTGAACAAAATATTTTTTAACAATACAGACAAATGTTAAGTTATCAAATATTCCGGAGTGATATTTTACCACCTATATACTTCTTAATACCACATACCGGTAGCATAATAAACTCATTATCACAGGTGTGTCAGTATGAGAATACTCAAGAAGAAGTTGAGAACAACTTGAGAACAACTTGAAAACGTGTTTCCCAATTTCCCAGCACTTGGGAACGTATTTTCTCAAAAAAGAATGTCTGCTGGCGCCAAGTGACGTCATGAAACGGAACAACTTTATCGTATGTCAAAGGTCATTCTGACTAGGAGGTCAACTTAACAATGAGGTCAGTGTTACTAATCTGTTCGTCTGCTCGTACAAGTCAGGATGTAACTGTCAGATTTCATGTCACTAGATGATATTTTATTGACAGATCTGCTAAGTATTGAAAAGAAAAAGGAAAACAAACAAATGACACTGGATGAAGAAATATTCACACGGAAGAGTAGAAACAGTTTTGGAGAAGGATTTTGAGAAACGACTAAGCTGACCTGAGAGCTATTATAGCTGACACACAAAACAGGAACACTGTCAGGAGCATGATGATTTCAGTGAAAATATTTAAAATCTTCATGAAGTCTACCCGGATGATAGAGAAATATAGACTTTGGACTTTAGGACTCTGGACTGAGTTTTACCTTGGAATTAGACAGAGTAAATCTGGGGCAGGTGATGACTAAACACCTTCAGCTTTACTTGTTTACGCATCAATGATTAAACAAATTCCTTAAAGGCAATAAGAACAAAAAGGACACAGTAAATACATTGACTATAGACACTCACAAGACACTTTGAAGATCCAACTGAAAAGGCTAAGAAAAGACAACCTTCCAAATGCATCAGATCCACTGCCATCAGAGGTCAAACATCAGCTAAAAGATCAAGAAGTGTTGGGCCATGCTGACTCAGAAAACCTTATGTACAAATTATACTTACATATTAGTGAACAATTTTGACTAGGAGCAGCCACAGAACATCACAACTTAAGATATGGCGACATAGAACTGAAGAATTTAAATGGTCAAGATGTTTTGGAACACATCAGTGAGGGTCAGACAAAGGCCTGAACAGGTATGTTAGTTTATTTAAGATTTTGAAAATCATGAATTGTTTGCGAATAAACAGACTGAAGTTATGAAACAAGTGGTCTCACTTGATTTCAAAATATTTAATTTATTATGAGATTTCAATTTGTTGTAAATGTATAGGGATGAAATGACCATTTGTTTTTAAACGATAGGTTTAAATAACAGGCTTTGACCATCAAACAAGACACCATGTGTCATGAAAGCCTAGACAGTTACATCAGACCCAATCAGGTGTCTAGTGCAGACGTAAAAAGGAATATCGCTGTGGAAGGCCAGCTGCTATGCTATCAGAAAGGAATCATTTTTACTTGACAACCATCAAGGATTATAAAGGGCTGTATGGTATGCTGACGTACCTATGCATGTGAACAAATTAAGATAATTTATTCAAATAATGGCAAAAAAGGGCAACTTATCTGGTAATAAACTAACAGCAGTAGCAAGGAGAAAAGGCGTGGTCAAAGAATTGTAGAATGCTGTTTTTGATTGCGCTAAGGTGGTGCAGCATTCTGGACATAAAAATGTGAATTCTTTAAATTCATACTCCAAGAACTCCCCGGAAACACAACAACAAATGTCACGCGAATTATCTGTTGGATTTACTCTCTCTTGTGACCGTACATCAACAGCATCTGAGGAAACGCATTCGCCTATCAATAACCAATACCCTTCCTACCAAGTTCCGCCATCATATAGTTCCTTCCCTGCATTCTGGAAAGGACCCAAGCCATTACCAGTTTACGGAATTTATCCACCTGTGCCTGTGTACCCTCTAATGCACCTTCCTGCACAGCTACGGCAGACACAATAATTAGTTTATAGAAAACTGAACAATAACAAAAACAAAAAAACGAAATAATCTTGCTTGAACTTGGACTCCCAAAAAATCTCACTTAACCATATTAATTGATTGCCATTGACTTACAAAAATCTGAAACTTTCTAACAATCACTTTAAATCACGGTAGGTAACCACCTAAAAGCTGGGGAAAAAACATTCATTCCACCTGAATCCTTTTTATACCCTACAATGCGTCCTTTCCACGGAGCCACAATACATACAGGTATATATAGTCGACCGATTTTTTCTTGACTACAGTATGTAACGAATAAGTGTCAAAACTCTAAGAAAATCATTTTCCTTTTTTACTTCAGGTACCCAGCAGGTGTCAGTTGAGGGATCGTTGGCGTAGCCATCCCCATGCAACAACATATCAGACGTGATGTATATCCAAATAATGTTCAAACGAAACAATTATTTTGCTGTTGAAAGATACATTGCACGGGATTAAGTCGATTTATGATGAAACATACAAGGCGGTAAAGATGATGAATAGTTTATCACACACAAGTGAGAACAATTTTCACAAAGCTGGCACGTGGATAAAATTGAGAGGTCATCGCAGGTGGACTCGAGAAACCAGTGTGATAGTGTGAATTAAATGAACCCTGGAAATAGTGTCATAGTCTATAGATATCTCTGAAAACATCTTTCTTCTTTTATTCGATTGCACTGTTGGGGATGGCAACAGTAGCATGAATGTCGGTACATTACCTGTATCCTAACATCCTGCACGTTACATTAGCGTCTCTGTCGTCCCAGTCGTATAGGCCACAAACACTTCCCCAGTAACCACTGTAAAACACTTCTACACGGCCCGCATTAGGTTCCGGGCCTCCACTCAGGCGGATGTCAAAGTCTGTTTCTGTTAGAAAATAAGTATATATTCAAAAACTATAGGATACCACTACTGCTCATTTCCTCAAAACAGTAGTTGAAATGCCGAATTATTAAATGACTCCGTTGTCATGGGCACTAATAAAAAAAAAATGTTTACTTAGTTTTATTGATGAGATGGATCATTATTTTTTTATTTTATTATTAAGATGAGGTTCTGGTCATCCGTCTACGATTTTTAAATAGGAATTAATAGGTAGCTATCGTATCCACAGGTAGATTTGCTCAATCGTTATTTAGAATGTGTAAGCAAACGTAAACTACAGATTGTAGTGAGTTTTTATATTTGTTATAACATTGTTAGTCAACGACATGTACATAGTTGTAGTTTATTTGTGATATTTCTAGTCATTTTACCTCTTGATTGTACATTGTATATATGAACATACCTGTATATCGGGTGTACATTGTTTACATTCACGCGCACGATGCATATGTACTGTTTTAGCTTTATGAGATCAAGGCGATACATAAGCATGTTAACATGTAGTGTTTAACATAGTATTACCTATAAATAATTCACATTTAATTGCCCATTTTCTGATCTAACTGTTAGTATTGGTAACAGGCATATAGTTCAATTGAACGGGTCTCGGTTGAGTGGATTACCATAGATATTAAGGCGGCGTGTGCCGTGCTTTTATTGATTATACAAATAGACTCTACTTAGTAAATTGGTAGAAATAGCGTATTAACTTGTCTCACAGTTATTGTCATTGTATATACATATTGGGTAGTAAAAAATTCTGTACGTATACGTTACCGTTTAATGACAGTCAGTTTATAGATATAGGATGTACGTCTGTTGTTCATATATTGTAGCTCACACCCTTGGTCAATGATGAAAACCAGGCACTATTAATCCTGTGAGGACTGCAAGAACCACTAGCTGCAGAAGCTATTATTTATGATGATAGTCCTGTGTGGACAACGTCTTTTGGTTCTTGTAAAACTGATTGCTGTGTGCTGTATAGCAACCGGGGTAGTGAATCATTTATGCGGACGGACCGTGCTCTGTGTGGACACTTTGTGTCAGTTGGTCTGACTATTCGTTACGTGTAACCCCTCGTTTGGATTTTGTTGAGTCCATCATCACATGAGTTATATGGTCATGGTCATCAAGAGGAGAGACGGGACCGGGGACTACAGACCGCGGCGTGGACGAACCTTGTCATGATCACTGTATCCGGGCAGTGATTTCATACAGTTACTGATACATTGAATTTGCCAGTATTGGTGTATAGTTTACCTGTGTGATATCAGTATGGGTATAGATATTTGCTTTTTGTGATCCTTATAATGCTGTATATACTTTGTGTGAGAGTGAGAAAGCAAAGTTTTATGCTACTTAAAAATAGCAAAAATATATTGTAAATTTTGTAAATTACGTTTTGTATATATTGAAATGCCGTCTTTATGTCATTCTACACCACACTTGCACTATCACGCTCGTCCATAGTTAATGTAAAAGAGTTTGTGACAAGTTACGAAAGAGTGTTTAGTAATGAAAATTGAAATCTTTTTTATATATTTTTTTTGTAAAGATCGTTTTACAGATTTCTGTAACAGTTCAACGAACTTTACCTAACCTTTGATCGACATCTAGAACGTTCCTCAAATAACCTCTTATTAAATGTAACATGTATGAACAGTACAATAAGCAAGTATACATATCGTTGTTGCCTTTGTAGTTTGATAGGTGTAATATCTGCAATTATAAATATCCATTTTGAGAAAGTTGAGATACGTTGAAAATGACTAGCAATTATCTTTCATCAAATAGGATTGCCCTCTGAACTTCTGTGATTAATATAAACGTACCTATGAAATTATAACAGAAAACACTAGCGGAGTAACTACTGCAATAACCAACTTGACCCCATCCGTCAAAGGAACAATCAGCTAGACTGTCCTCCGTACCGGTACAGTCTACACCTGCCATCCATACAGGGTCTGTTAGAGCGCCATAACGGGTGGTCCGATATATTTGATGGCCATCGCTGAAAAATATATATAGAAAATCAGATTTTGAGATGGGAATAACCTAACGGTTGAAAGATAAATGGTATATTTATCCATGAAACCTGGAAGAAATTCATTAGGAAATTTGAAACAATACAGACAAATGTTAAGTAATTAGATATTTTGGAGATTCAATAGAAAGCCTTATACAAGATATAATAATCTGAACACAAGTCAGGTTTTCGGTAGAAACGTTTTGCAATTGGTATATTTTCTTTAGTACTTAAAAGTAAACGTGGAACGAAGTTTTTACTTTTATCACATTGCAATATTTACTGTTCATGTTAAATACTACACAGGGTGGCCAAACTAGCATGATTTTCAGTGCATTACCTGTATCCTAACGTCCTGCACGTTACATTAGCGTCCCTGTAGTCCCAGTAGCTGGAGCCACAAACACTTCCCCAATAACCACTGTAGTACACTTCTACACGGCCCACATTGGGTTCTGGACCTCCAATCAGGCGGATGTCAAAGTCTGTTTCTGTTCGAAGTTATGCTTACATTAAACAACAGGTTCAACTTCTCCCACTACTTACATATATTAAAGTGTCTTCAAGAGTTATCGTCCCTGTCACTGTTTATATGTAGCTCTTTCAAACGGAAAATACGCAAAGATGCATTCAGGTTTTAAATTGTGATGCCTTTTGTAGAAAGCATGTTCTGATATCTCGTCTATTTTGGATTTGGAGCTCATTACTTGGTCAAATTGTTTACGTTTTGATACAGAGTAAGGCAGTTGGTCATTTTTACATATCTACTGCTATTCATTGAAGCGGTTGACA